TCACCTAAACAAATGGGAGGAGAAATTTAAAAAGAAGTCACAGGTTCAGTGATAAACATAAGTATATTATTTATATAAAGGCATTTCTATGCAGTCACAATATAAAAGGTTAATAGTAGTATTTCTCTCATTCTGCCATAGAAAAATATTACACACTCCCTTAAGTTTCCAATTTTGCTGTTGGAAAAAATGAAAACCTTAAAGCAAAGCGCCATAGAAAAATATTACACACTCCCTTAAATTTCGAATTTTGCTGTTGGAAAAAATGAAAACCTCAAAGAAAAAAAGTTTCCTCCATTTTTTATATAATCATGCTCCCCTTTAGAACGTCAGATGTAAATGTGGGAAGAAGACTGAAATGAGTGTTCTGGACAATGGGGACAGGGATTCATCTTTCCGATAATGAAATGTCTTATCTGGTTTAGATTTGAGTCTTTCAGAAAACTGAGAAGGAACTGCAAAGTTTATCTAACATCAGAAATCAGTACAGATGTTGAGGTCTAGTCCCTTAGCAGGTTTTCCCTTTGTGATTGTTAGCTCCATACTAAATTGCTAATGAGCCATTTCTAGAATGGAAAGGTGAGGGGCAGTCAGAAAAGCAACCTTTACCAAGGACTCACATTACCCGGCTGCATGTATGACACCGAGTTTGAAACTTGTTTGTAAGAAAGAGTTTATCTCAGTCACTTGCAGATTCTTGTGTGCTGTGATGATGACTCCATTCGGCTCCAAGAAGTTGAATGAATAACTGAAGTTGAATGAGTAACTGCCCACAGAAAAGGCGGCTTCCTTGCTTCCCCTAGAATCATAGAACCCTAGAAGAATGGAGTTGGAAGGGGTCTCGAAGGCCATCTAGTCCAACCCCCTGCTCAAGGCAGGAGTCTAAATCAGGGCAGATCTGTCAGAGGGTTGTCCAACTTTTCTCTTGTCCAGTTTTCTCTTGAAAGCCTCCAGTGTTGGAACCCTCACCACCTCCCGAGATCACTGGTTCCATTATCATACTGCTCTAACATTTAGGAAGTTTTTCTTCAGTTTATCTGTACTTCTTCATCGTATCTCCCTACTCACCTTTCTGCTTTTTAGTTGACCTTCTCCTTTATGACAGATTGCTGCTATCCCTGGGCAATTGTTTATGGCGACCTTAGTTTTTGTGCTGTTATGTGTTTTCATTTTACTTTTATTGTTTGAGTAACATAGGTTTTAATTTCTTGTTACTCTGCCTGGAATATATTGCTCCTGCTCCTGCACTAATGATGCAGTGTTAATTAGGGGAAGGGTGCTCAGATCTCTCTGCAAGGCGTGCAACAACACCCAGAGGCGAGAGCTCCGAAGTCAGTAATGTTTTCTTATCCATGTTATTTAAAAAAAACCTGCTTTTTCTCTGAACCGTACGTATGACTCCAATTTTAAATCGAACAGGAAGCCTGGTAAAGTTCTCAGTGTTGTTGTTTGTCTCCATAATATTTGAGCAGGCTGCAGCTGAACAGCCTCTGGTAAAGGTTGGTAAAATTACTTCCCCCCCCCTTTACTACAACTCCCAGAATGTCCAAGGCAGTGTGGACACTGGCTTTGCATACTCAAGGGTCATGGGAAATGTAGTCCACCACAGTAACAGTGTGCAGGGGTGCGCAGGCTCTGATCTCCATGCTTGAGCATAACTTGTGGGGCTGACAGATCACTTCCACCTCCAGGCAGAGACACAGCCGGCTCGCTTTGCCCCGTCGTACACAAGAGGCCTTTTGCTGTCAGACGCCTGACGCCAGCATGAACATTAGCAGATCTGCAGAATGTCTCCTGGCTTTGTCCAGGATCTGCTTCTCTGAAAATTTTATTACTGTGAGAATTCCAAATCATGGCCTGTGTGGCTAGCAACTTTTTTTTTAAAAAATTTTTTTTTCAAAGTTTATGGCATCTGTCAAAGGTTTATAAACAACCTGGACCCGAGAATCCTGGGAGCCACAGGAATGAGGCAACACAACCTGGTTTTAATCTTTCGTCTGTCTTCAACTTACCATAGTACTTTCTGTTTTCTTCTTCCTCGGGAATGTTCTTTTTTAACTGTACAAAGTGTTGAAAGATGTTTTAAAACCTTACACTTCCTGCTTTATTGAAAGATTTTAGACCTCCCTGTGTTCCATTCGTGCATTTGAACCGAATCTCATACCAAGGGAAGAGCGTGTTGCCCTGAAAACCTCAGTTCCTAGGAACAGTTGTAAAGCTTTTCCTCTTCAGCCTGGCGTGCAACATCTAGGATTAAGTTGGTGTCAACTAGCTTTCTCCAACTTAGTCACACTCAGTCAGGTGGAAAGATCTGCGCACTTACCGTTGTTTTCTGAATTATTGCTTCTCACCATGAGATCTTGGAAAAACAGAGGAAAGAAGTTGAACTAAATTATGTTTCTGGCCCTTGTGTGCATCTACGTTGGCTTGGGCACGTCATGAGAATGGCTGACGGTCAGATTCCAAAAGATCTCCTGTATGGAGAATTAGTGCAGGGAAATCGCCCCAGAGGGAGACCACAGCTGTGATACAAGAAGATCTGCAAGTGGGATCTGAAGGCCTTAGGAATGGCCCTCCATAGATGGAAACCCCTGACCTCTGAGCGCTCAGCCTGGAAGCAGGCGGTGCATCACGGCCTCTCCCAATTTGAAGAGACCCTTGTCCAGCAGGCCGAGGCAAAGAGGCCGTCCCGAAACCAGCCAAATCAGGGAGGTGGACAGGAGACAGATTGCATTTCTCTTCAGTGTGGAAGGGATGGTCACTCTTGAATTGGCGTTCTGAGCCACACTAGACGCTGTTCCAAGTCCTCAATACAGAGCATGTTACTGAAGGATGCCTAACCTGTCCGTGTTTCGGATTGCGTAGCTACAGCAGCACCGCCACACATTCGCTGTAGAGCTGTTCCTGCACCAGTCACTGCCCTTTGCTTTCTAGAAGTTACAATATTTGAATCTAGCGCTCCACGCCAGATGCTCCTGTACGTTATAAGACATGGGCAGGCCAGAGATTGAGAACCCCAATGCGCCAGATGTTGGACTCCATCCCCCACCCCAGGTGAAATGGCCATTGGCCATGCATTATGACCATTGTAGGTCCACCAACATCTGGAAGGCCACGGGTCCCCACCTCTGATTTAACCAAACATATTTCAAGGAGGAGTGGTTTGCACCAGGGAAAATGAAGAAACAGAAGCTGTCCAAGCCCATCTCATCTCTTCACTTCCTTCTTGCAGCTCTTCACCAACACACTTGCAGAAATACCATACGTTGGGAGGCCAATATATACCTGGACTGCTTAGGCATGTACATGGATGATGGGGGAGGTGGGCAACTAAGAATTTGAGATTTCTAGTATATATACCTGGACTGCTTAGGCATGTACAGTACATGGGTGATGGGGGAGGTGGGGCAACTGAGAATTTGAGATTTCTTGCCTGTCCTAGTCACTCAGAAAACTTTCCTGCAAGATTCTAAGCCGACTCAGTGAAACAAATCCTGCGTGTGTGTAAGGCAGCTGCTTTGTTTTCCTTCATCGCCAGCTTTTGCGGAAATGCGGGTCTGTTCATTATTTTAAAGCAATTCTAAGCATGCAGAGGAATCGGCTTAGGAAGGAATCATATTAGCAGGTTCCATAATTTGGTTTGATTTATAAGTGGAACTGAGTAACAGGATGAATTGCATCCTGCAGTAAGAACATAACTTTCTGTTCTTTCGCAGAAATATACCGTCTGGCATTTTCAGCTGCAGCATGAGGATTTTCGTTGGTTTGGACTCAGGCAGTTGTTTCTTGTTTATCTGCCTATTGTGCCATTATTATCTTTATTGGTTCATGTTGCCCACATACTTGGGTGGTCATTCTGCTTGGAATTTGAAGGGCAAGCAGGATAGCAAACATGTATATTTTCCATTTGTGATTTTGCACCTTCTCTTGTTAAACAATTATAAATCAGTTTATTTAAAATATTCTTGAAATAACTTTTTCTAGAATAGAATTAGTTCCCCTTCTGTTTGCCACCTCCTGGCAAATAGAAGGGGAAGATATGGAGGCGGTGACAGATTTTACTTTCTTGGGCGCCGTGATCACTGCAGATGGCGACAGCAGCCATGAAACTAAAAGACGCCTGCTTCTTGGGAGGAAAGTGATGGAAAACCTAGACAGCATCTTAAAAAGCAGAGACATCACCTTGTTGACAAAGGTCCACCTAGTCAAAGCTATGGTTTTTCCATTAGCAATGTATGGAAGTGAGAGCTGGACCATAAAGAAGGCTGACCACCAAAGAATTGATGCTTTTGAATTGTGGTGCTGGAGGAGACTCTTGAGAGTCCCCTGGACTGCCAGGAGAAGAAACCTATCCATTCTGAAGGAAATCCACCCTGAGTGCTCACCGGAAGGACAGATAGTAATGCTGAGGCTTCAATAATTTGGCCATCTCATGAGAAGAGAAGACTGCCTGGAAAAGATGCTGATGTTGGGAAAGTGTGAAGGCAAGAGGAGAAGGGGACGACAGAGGATGAGATGGATGGACAGTGTCACCGAAGCTACCAACATGAATTTGACCCAACTCCAGGAGGCAGTTGAAGACAGGAGGGCCTGGTATGCTCTCGTCCATGGGGTCACGAAGAGTCAGACATGACTTCACGACTAAACAACAACATAGGGTAGCAATCTAGAGCTAAACAAGTCTAAAGGCAAATGAGATAAGAAGACCAAAAACACAATACTCACCAGAATTCTGGGAGGCTATGTTGCTTAATCCAAGTGCCACTGAGACAGGAAGCCCTCCTTCCTCAACAGGAGCCAATGGCCAGCTTGGACAAATTAGAGTAAAATAAAAAGGTTCTTCATTGAATCAGGAAATGAGGCTGAGGAGCTTGATGCCGAGGGAGGCCCGGAAGGAAAAAACAAGAAACTAGACCTTCTCGGTGGTAGCTCCTCGCCTCCCTGTTGTTTGTTCTGAAGTCTTTGTTTTTTAAGTTTTTTTTTTTAATTTTCTCTCCTAGGTCAGCCAGTTCAGGCAGCTGTATTCCAAAGTCATTAATGATAAACATGATGATGTGATGGCCAAATTCGGAGCAATTCTTGCCCAGGGCATATTGGATGCAGGTAAGGTCTGATTGTACAATGAACAGCTGATTCAGCCAGTGTGTGTCTCATTCGTTTGTCTCCTTGGTACAAAAATGAATAATAATGATCCTGCACGGTCAAGTCATGTCCAACTTAAGAAGACCCTTTTCTCAACCTTGGTTCCCCCGATGTTCTTGGACTAAAACTCTCACATGCTTTCACCACTAGCTGACCTGGCCAAGCTTTCTGGGAGCTTAAGGAGAGCTGGCTGTAGAGAGCATAAAAATAAAGAACAAAAGTGTTGTGCTCGGCAGGAAGATTTTGACAATTCCACTTTCTTTCTCAGGATCTACTGTGATTGTCAGCTTGTAAAGATGGGAACCAAGAAAGAAAAGCCACAACTGCCTTTCAAATAGCAGTGGTGAATATATGATATGTGATTCTCATTGGAAGGGTTGTGTTCTGCTGCAGCAGAATCAGATACTGTTCTTCTTTGGGTAGAGTCTCTATAGAAATAAATCTTATTCCCCTGCCTGATATACCCAAAAGGGGGGGGGGGTAAACCTAATAGAATATTTTTCTGTGAGAACATATTAATCTATGACTCTACTAATCCTAAAATCTTAAATTCTTAACTATATTAAGTAGAGATGGGCACGAACTGGTTCATCCCAGTTCATAAAAGCAGAAGCACAGGTTCCCCTGGTTCTCTCCTGCGCCTCCTCTGGCTCTGTCAGCCCCTCACCAGACTCAGTGTGCGATCTTCTTGCACCTCCTCAACTGATCTCCCAGTCCTGGCAAGAGCTCAGGCTTCTCTGCCCCACCCTCTGGGTTGATCTCCAATTCAGACTAAAGGACGGGGCAGAGAAGTCTGTGCTCTGGCTCATGGGTAGGAGATTAGATGAGGAAGTGGGGAAAAACCAAGCCAACTGGGCCTAGTGAGTGGCTGATCGGCTGAGGAGGCAGGGGAGAGGAGCAGGAGCACCTGTGCTGCCGCCTTTACGAACCGGGACAGACCAGTTCGCACCCATCTCTAATCAGGAGACCCACGAGGCAATAGACGGTACCATCTCCAACACTCATCCCCAGATGGATAAAGTTTTAGCAGACCTTGTTGGTTCTACAGGCAGCAACCTGGTCTGCACTGGACCCAAAGAGCTGCTTCAGGAAAGAAGTACAGTGGTACCTCGCAAGACGACGACCCCGCTAAACATCAACTTCGCATTACTATGACTTTTTACGATCACTATACAGTAGCAATTCGCAAAACAGTCATTCCAATGGGGGATTTTCGCTGGACATTGATTAGGTCCTTGCTTTGTGAACCGTCTGTTTGCAAGACAATTTTTACAGCTGATCGTCGGCTTTGCAGAATGGCTGCCCTGTGTTTTCCGGACCCATGCTTCGCAGGGCAGCCATTTTTACAGCTGATCGTCGCTCGCAAAATGGCTTCCTATGGGTGATCTTTGCTGCACAACGAGGTATTTTCCCCATTGGAACGCATTAAACCGGGTTTCAATGCATTCCAATGAGGAAACAGATTTCACATGACGATGATTTTGCTAAACAGCGATTTCAATGGGATGGATTATCGTCGTCATGCGGGGCACCACTGTAGCTTCTCAAAGAAGCTTCATATAACTGCTTTAGAGCATAAACAAGTACACATACCAACCTTTGACTCACCTTCTCTGGATAAATGCCGGTCTTGGGTGTCTGTGTCACTGGAATCGCATCTCTCTCGTCTGGTTAGTGTGCGAAATGGATAGGTGCTAATGTATCTGTTACCATCCGCTTATCCACCAGGCAGATGAGTTCATCGGCCAAAGAAGCAGGGGGGAGGAATGGCCATGTTGCCTTTTTCTCCCACGAGGCCTTCTGGGAGCAAGCAGGCACCTGTTCAGGAGCAGGGGGAGGGTAGGAGAAGTGAAGTTCATTAACTGGTCACACATTCTGCAGTGCCTGCATGGATTCATGCAGGGCTGTGGATTTGCTTCTGTGCTATCAAAAACTGGTGGCACCATTGATTTTTTTTAAAAAAAAAACACTTTGCTTTTAAAACAAGGTATGTGGAGAGTGTGCATCTTGCTTTCATGGTTGGCACTGTTTCGAGGAGAAGATGCTCTTGGCACGTCCAGAGTTGCCACGTTGCCGAATATGGGCAATCTTACAGCCCCAGGGGCTGCCAGAAGGAAGGGGGGAGTCGGGGGCCTCCTTCGGCTCACAGGGCTCTGTGTTTCTTATCCCAGAAACTAAGTGGATCAGCCTCTCAAACCGGCAGTGCCTCTGCACACCCATCTGTGAGGGAAGCAAGCTGGGAATTGGTAGATTCGTAAAGTTTGGGCTTCTACTTGCCCCTGGAAGTTCTTAAGAAGCTACCTATAACTCCCAAGCTCTGTTTACTGCTACAGCTCAACGCAAAACTCTTTGTCTATGGCAGCAAGCCCTGGAGCATGGAAACTTTACCCTCTGTTGCTACACAGATGGGGTTCACCGTCTCAGGCTCTGCAGCTGACTCAGCTATGTGAGTTGTCGCACCTTCCTATTTTGGAAGCTCTGGCCAGTACCCTGTTGACCTCCCATGGAGTAGAAAATCCCATCGCTCTACAAGTGGCACCGCTTGGCAGAGCATGAGTCTCCTCGTGGGGAGGTCCACTTGCCCAGCAGCGGCCCTTACCCAAGCCGCGCGGTCATGCATGGCACACGAACAAGATTTCTGTTGAGGAGAGGTTCCTTACGATAGTGGCACTCCAAGACTTGCGTTGTTTTTAATGCTTTAGCAAAGCAAGAAAGGTATGACTCAAGCCAGAAATCACAGGTCCTACGGATACACTTTTTCTGTTCAATGTCATGTCATGAGATAACAATTCTGGGGGCATTAACAGAGGAAGCAGGGAGGCGACTGCCTCTTCTGGCAGATGAGGGAAATCAGAGCTGAGCAGCACATGGCTTTGAAGTGTGAGAGAAGTGAATAATTAGGACAAATGATTTTTTTAAAAGTAGAGGTGAAAGGAATCATCCCACAACTCAGGTGGGTACCTTTTTGGTTTACAACTCTCCAAATCTCCCAACCATATTGGCAGGTGCATTCTGAGAGTTCTAGCTCCAAAGGTCTATTTTTGAAGTTTTAGCAAAGACTCGAGCGATGGTTCCCAACCTTGGGTAGCCCCAGGTGTTCTTGGACTGCAACTCCCATAGACCCCAGCACACCACAACGGGTGTTGAAGACTTCTGGGAATTTCAGTCCAGGAACCATCTGGGTGACCCAAGGTTGGGAACCTCTACTCTAGAGAGTTGAAGGCAGCAGGGAAAGAGACCACATATGAAGTGGATTGACTTGATCAAGGAAACCATGGGCTTGAGTTGGCAAGAACTGAGCAGGGCAGTTAACGGCAAGAGCTTTCCAGTGGATTGACTTGATCAAGGAAACCATGGACTTGAGTTGGCAAGAATTGAGCAGGGCACTTAACGGCAAGAGCCTTTGGAGGTTGCTCCTTCGTAGGGTTGGAGGTGATGTGACGCATAATCGAGAAGTTTGAGGTATGGTCAAGGAACTCCAAAGAGGAAGTATAGACTGGATTTGGGCTAAGATAATTGGTCGATTTTTGTAAAATGACAGAGGAGGAAGCCCCACAATTCAGCAGGAGATGGAATGGATGGAGCAGAAGAAGGGACCACCCATATATTTTTGGGAATATATGCCCAGTTGGTTTCCATCTTTTGTCCCAAGTCACTGTAATAATGCAGGATTTTATATAGGTAGTGGGTGTCTGACTAAAGAACAGCATCTTATTACCAGTTGAACTGGTACAAGAGGATGTTTAAGAAGAAGAAAAATCTAGGAGCCCAGTGTTTGAAAACCATTTTCAAGATCTCTCACAAACCCTGGTCTTCAAACCCATGTTGACTTGACTATAAACACCCCTGAGATGAGCAGAAACCCAGCATACCGTCTCGCACCTTGCCTGCTCCCATGCAAGCCAAGAGAAGAGGAGGATGTAATGCCGTGAGAGCAGAAACAGCAAGCATGTGGATGCCATTCTTCAGGGATGAGGTCAGAGGCTCAAGAAACGCCAGATTTTAGACCGTCTCCATCTAAGGGGTAAATGTTGAAAAATAAAATTCCAAGGTTGTATAAACCTAAGTCTTGATGGGCTGTTCAGTACATGGGCTTGGCCTATTGAGTGCCAGCCTGAAGGAATTTGAGATCCCGTGTCTGCCTTTGTGTGTGAGAGGCAGACACTTCTCATGGGCATATAGAGCATTGAATTTCCTTAGACACTTCCCTTATTACGTCTCTAAGTTGCAGTCAACTCTCAGGTCATTCACACAGAAGAACGAGCTTCCCCATGCCCTGAAGCTGGTTCAGCGTGGGGAAGTTCTGAACTTCCCTGGATTTCCTGCTTCGGGGGAAGGCTTATGATTTTTCTGGACTCTTTTGGGCTGGATCAGGGCCACTGGCGATTATGCCACTGCATTCCAGGCAGAGTTGTCATGGGCACCTGCTTTTCAGGGCGTGGGGAAGCTTGTTCTCCTGTGTGAATGACCTGAGAGTTGAGTGCAACTTAAAACAGCTTAGGCCTTCTGCCCGAGAAATCATTCACGATTACTGTTGAACTCCATCCGCCAAGCTGGTTGGAGCACCGAAAATCAGATTAACACCTTCCCACTGGCACAGCTTTTCTTGGGTGCTTCTGCCTTGCATCCACCCGACAAGCCCTTCTGATCTCTGCTTTGTGATGATGAAATTACAAGGTTTTTGGCTCTCTGGCAAAGCCTTGTAATTTCATTCTGCTGTTGAGATTTATGGCACCTAGGAAAGAGGAAGCAAGATTTCGAAGCTGGCAGAGAGAGGTGGATATGGTGAACTCTGAAAAGGACACTCTTCTTCATGGAAGATTTGTCTCATGCTGGAAGACCGGAGATTTGCGGCTGAGTAAGCAGGGGGAAAAAGAGATGAAGATCGTTTACTCCCAGCTGAATGGAAAAAGTGTAGAAGGGTGACATCGGGGCAGAGCACAGAGGATTGAAAATGGAGCGTGAGAGTGGGATGGGAATGAGAGAGAGAGAGAACCAATTTGTTCACCCTGAAAGCTGCCTACGATCGCTTGTGTCCTCAGCTGATCTGTCTCAGCACAGATGCATTGAGGGGCAATTGGACGAGGGAAATCTTGTGTCATCTCTAAAGTTAAAGATGCCACAAGCCGCCCCCTGTCCCCTGAACTTGGCGGAGGTTTGTTTTTTTACTGCAACTCCCAGAATCCACCACCTAGCACGGCCAGCAATAAAACCAGTAACGTTTCCAAATTCTGGATAAAGCATCTGACTGCCCACGGTTGGAAGCAGGAAGTCAGGCTAGAGCAGTGATGGTGAACCTATGGCACATGTGCCACAGCTGGCACACAGAGCCCTCTTTGTGGGCACACAAGCCATAAGTCACCGTAGAGAAATATTTACCCATCCTCCGATCCCAGATTTTGACACTCCCCTCTGTTGGTCTAGTGGTCCAGCGAAGGGGTGCAATGGTGATCATTACCAGTCTAGCCCACTGGGGGATTGGAGGACCGGTAAGTATTTCTTTGTTAATACTGTGGGGGGGGGGGGGGAGAGACAAGCATTTAACCCTTGCAGTGGAGGAGCACTTGTTTTTTCTAAACTAAACCTCAGCATTCGGGTTTTAATTGCAGTACTGGCACTTCGAAATAAATAAGTTGATTTTGTGTTGCAGTTTGGGCACTCAGGCTCAAAAAGGTTCACCATCACTGGGCTAGAGAGAAGTTCAGTCCAACCTGTAACAGTTACTTCTATATCCTTAGGAGGGAGACGTTCCCAACCCTGAGTCCCAAGAGGTTCTTAGAGGACGACTCTCAGCAAACCTGGCCGACATAGCTAGTGGTGAAGGTTTTCTGGGAGTTGTAGTCCAAGAACACCTGGGGAGCTAAGGTTGGGAACTACCGTCTTAGTGGTACATGCTCGGCATCATAGGAGACCACTGGATCAGCTGTTTCCATCTGCCCACATTTGTTGACCGACTGATGCTCACAGAGGGAAGAGGTGGGCCAGATTGCCTTCCTTTTTTATTGTGTGGCTCCCAGCCTTTCCTCCTCCACCCGCACCTGATGTTTATGCGAAAAAGGGACCTGCCTTGATTCGGTGCAACGGCTGTGACTTCTTGGCACTTTTGCCAAACAAAATAATCATCCTCTCCCATGTTTCCCAGGTGGCCACAATGTCACCATTTCCCTGCAGTCGAGGACCGGCCACACACACATGCCTTCGGTGGTTGGAGTTCTGGTCTTCACCCAGTTCTGGTTCTGGTTTCCTCTCTCCCACTTCTTATCGCTGGCTTTCACCCCGACCTGCGTCATCGGTCTTAACAAGGACCTTAAGGTACGTACCATCCCAGAGACTATAATAATTTGTGTGTGCTTGTCGCTTATCTTATGCCTGCCTGAACCCTGAACTGTGTAACTCCTCTGCCAGGGCTACCTCTCAGAACATCATCTTTTCGTTGTTATCTGGTATTTCTGCTTTTAGTCACTACGCCATCATGTCCAAGCACAGTGGTTGGATGTCAAGGATCCCAGGTTCATCCTGTAGAACTCCTTGCACGAAAGTCCATCATTCAAGGCAGGGCCTTCTCGGTGGCAGCACCCAGGCTATGGAATCGGCTCTCGGAGGAGCTACACCTCACCCCTCCCTGTACTCTTTTAAGAGACACTGCTTTAGAGGAAGGCTTCTCAACCCAACCCCAGCTGAATGTCTCCCATCTGGTCCACTTTATTGTGAAAATCTGTAGGTGCCCTTGGCTTTTTAAGTTTACGCTCTGCCGTTGCTATTTACACTATATTTTACTGTCCGCTATTTGTTTGGTTTGGTATTTAATGTCTTGCAAACCACCCAG